ATGTTGTGGTCGATTATCCGTGTTCTGCTTCACCGAAGAAGGTGAGCTCAAGATGGTATTGTAACGCCCGTGAACCAAAAATGTGATTTTTGGTTGTGTGTCGATTGACACGTGTGTTTAATTCGCGAAGGAATCTGTTTGCTGGAGCTGTGTCGCGCGACACAAGAGGTTTGTGTCAAGCGACACATGTTGGACCGTGTGGTTTTGATTTCTGATCGGGTTTGATTTGGGTTGGTTTAGAGAACCTAGGGTTCCGTATTTAAGCAGAGAAAAACGTTTTCTCTTGGGGCTGGCCGAGAATTTGATCAGAGAAAGAGTTTTAGAGACTTTTGTAAGAGAAGTGTTTTTCTTGAGAGAGAAACAGTTCTGCTCGGGTTTTTGGAGGAGATTATTGGCGGGGAAGATCGGATCGGATCAGAGTGAAACTTTGAGGGTAAGTTCTCCTATCTTTGCTCTTGATGTGGGTGAAAACCGCGTGCCTTTTGGATGAGTATTCGCTGAGTTATGGCTGTTGGATTGTGTGAGGTTTCTGCAGTCTCGAGTCTGCAATCAGTCCACTTCGAGGGAGGATTCCCGTCGAACCAGAGAGAATCAGGAGACGATCCTTATGCCGTTGGAAAACTCTCTCTGTATAGTTTTTGTATTAGGTTTCGGATCCTGATTTGGAGGTAATTTCCGTTCTCTGTGTTCATTTGATTTCAGGGTGTTGTTTCTGAAATCTCTGTTTTTCCAGTTTCGATTAGCGAGATTTCGGGCTGTTTTCCCGTCGATCTGTTTGGAGTTAGGAGACGTTCTATACACCGTTGCGAAGCTCTTGGTGTCTAGTTTCCATATCAGGTTTCAGACCTTGATTTGGTAAAGGGAGTCGCGAGTTATTCCCTTCTGTTCGGGTCGTGTCGGGAGTGCCTTGTTTCCTCGTTTCAATCCGTTTGCAAAGGTGAGTGCGTGACCATAGGCTCTCAGATTAGGATTGTGTGGAATACGATTGATTGTGGCTTTTTTTTACTGTGTTTGGTGATTGAATTGTGCAGGATCGTGATCTGAGTCCTTGAGATTGAGCCATGAGAGG